AAACTGTGTTTAAATCTTATCTCTGTGGTCTGTTAGCTTTTTGACCTTGAGTAAATTACTTAATGTTGCTTAGTCTTAGTTTCCTCATCAGAAAAATGGCAAGGGTGATCATTTAATTCATAAAGTAAACACTAACTATTTTCTATGTGCTATAGATATAAAGATGAATAAGAGACTATCCATATCCTTCAGGGATTCTCAGTCATTTGGGGAAATCAGACAGAAAAAGAGGAAATTTTTATATAATGTTCAAAACACATAGTGACCGATGTATGTGGTTGGGGAAGGGTTGAGGAGGAAATGAAAGCTGAACTCCTGTTTATAGATCAAGCGTTTAGCCAGGCAAAGAATATAGAAAAAGTCATTTTTGGTGGAGGGAATAATGTATGTAAAGTCATACAGCCATTAAATAGCATTATTTCTTGGTGAAATAAGGGTACTTTTGCACTGAAGGGGTATTAAACAGGTGAAGGGGGAGTGGCTGGAGATGGGGCCGGAGTGGTGAGCAGGGCCTAGGCTCCTGAGCTATGGTGCTTCCGAAGCTGAGGGAGTTGAGGGAGAATACATGGCTGTGTTTATCACTCTTGAAAGACTGACATGCGGCATCTTAAGTAACTAAGGCATGTTGAAGGATTGATTTAGGGCTGAGTTTTTATATTGGAGAAGCAACAAAAGGATTGGACTGCAAGGAGTTGAGTGTGCTGGTGAAAGCGAAGGATTGGGCAATAGGCCATATGAGCCAGTTTGGATGGCATGGTGCCTAGGCACAGACCTGGCGCTTGGCACTGTTTCTGAATTTGAGATAGTAGAATGTGTAGTGTTATACCCTTTTAATAAATTGTGAAGTGCCCAGGGTCCTACAGCTAGTAAGTGGCATAACTGAGACGAGACCTCTGGTCTTAAGCTTCCTAGTTGTTGTTATTTCCATTATACCTACTTGGTAACCATTTTACCTCTCTGAGTTTCACTTCCCTCTAAGGGTTGCTATGAAGAAACTTGGTTTAAAACTATCTAATATAATTTGTGGAAGGATAAATAAAGTTACTTAGTAGGATAAATAAATGTTACTTCTCTTACCTTTACCACATTATCTCTGTTGAGATAATAGAGAAAAACCAAACAATATGGGACTGTGGAATTTTAGTTTATGGACATAGTGAGTTTCAATAGCCTTAAGTGCCCACAAGCGTAAGCTGGGCCACACTATCCTGCATATGTGAAATATCAAATGCCATCTCGACTAATGCACAGATTTGCTTATTTACCTGCTCTTGGCCTACCTTTCAAGTAATTCCTTTTGTGATTCTTGTCATCCTCAACCATTGATTCTTGGATCAGAGAGAAACCATCTGCCATTTTGCTGCAAGTACCATTTGGATAGCCAGGGTTCTCACTGAGTCTACACATTGCTCCTGCTGCCTTAATAGATGCCTTCCAAGTGACACCAAGGGCACTGTATGAGGAACAATAATATTTTGTGCATTTTTTTTTCCTGATTGCCTGGTAATCCTTCTTTCAAATCAGGGGCCCTTGGACTTAACCCTGAAATACTGTGTGAGAAGGAAGACGGAGTCTATCGACAAGAGGTTCTGTTTTGATATAGAAACTAATGAAAGGTAAGTTGTGCTGCTTTGAATTGGCAGTGTACCCATATGACAGATGCTGATCCTGGGTTGGTCTTGTATTTTCCTTTATCATCCCTGGTTGATGAAAACAAGCAAGTCTATTCAAGACATCATTTTCTCAGCTCTTCTGGCTCCCCTTCACAGCGATTCCTGTTAGACCAGGCCCAGAGCTGGCCTTCTGTATGCAAGCTTTGGTCAGGTTTGTCTCTCTTGTTCTGGGAGGTCTCTCCTAAAATTTAATTTGACATCAGATATGCAAAAGGTCAACATTTGCTGATGCTGCAAAAAGGACAAGAAAGATAATAAAGATCGTTCTTTTTAAAATCTTCTAATGTAACATAAAAGAACAAATGAATTGGCACACATTTTTATGGGAAGGAAGATTGGGCAGAGGCTGTTATTTCCCCCTACTTGGTGCAAAACGCATGCAGACTTTCCCTACTTTGCAGATATTTATTTGAACTACAAATAGTGTGATTATCAACTTTTAGATCTTAGATGTATGGATTGCAAGTTTTGGACTTGGTTGCATTTGTTTCTCTTCAGTTCCTTCAGAGTAGAATTTAACCTTTAAATTTT